AATGCAAGGGGCAAAGACTATAGCAAGTGCTGACGGTGACATTCTGTTATCAACCTCGTGCAGGGCCACTCTCGCCAGGTGAACGATCAGTCTCTCCATCAGATCAAAGTTGGGCTTGGGGAGTTTCTTGAGGATTGCAAAGAGAGTGCTCACCCTGTCGTGGGGATCAGTGAGATTTGCTGCATGGAGGAAGTCGTCGTAGTACTCGAATGTCATCAGTGGCTCTGGCATGTCCCTGAAGAAACTCTTCAAAACAGCTGCCAGGACGTGTACCTGATAATTCTCGAAGTCAACCTTCTCCAGGTCGCCCTCGTCCATCTTCATCTTCAGTTCTCTCACCTTTGAACTGACTCCACTCTTTCTGTAAAGTCCCTCAGTATACAGGCCATGCATCTCGATAGTAGTGATGAGCCTATCGACAACAAGTGGCACTTTTCCATCGCCACAATCGAGTTTATAAAGCGGCACATTGAAGACCTTTCGGCAATTGCTATCATTAATGCCATCCTTGCCACACTCAGCAACAGCTCTTGAATAGCACTTCTTGTGACAAGTGAGCTTACAATTCTGACAAACGAGTCCTCTCTCAATAGGCCACATGAAGAAAGAAGTGCAGACCTCACAGGCAGTTGGAATATTGATAATGGTCAACTGAAACATATGATTGCCATGTCTGATGGGCTCCTCCTGCTTTCTCTTCTTCTCCTTCTTCCTCTTGCTCTTGCTGGCCTTCTCTGGTGCCTCAGTCTTGACTAGCGTCATGAACTCATTCATGAATCCCCTGAAGGCATTGACCCCCATAGTTACTGGAAAATCCTCCCTGGTGTTCTCCTGCTTACAGACAGTCTCCATGACGTGCAAAAAACTAGCTATCAAATCAGTGTACTTTATATTTCCCTCGACCCCCTGCTGAATAGCTAGACTATAAGTGATAACTAAATCATCCTTGAACTTTCTGAGTGCCTGTTTAAACACCCTGTCAACCTCACTCGGTTTTTTTCCCTCCTCCTGGACCTCCATCGCATAAATCTTCTTGGTGATGAACTCCTGCATGAGAGCCAGCTCCTTAGCATCAGAAATAATCTTATCAGTACTGTCAGAGAAAGCCGAAGTGCCAGTCAAACTGAATTTCGACTGAACAGTCTGCTTGACAGCCTCATAAGGTGTCCTCATGGGTTTTCTATTTTTCCTCCTGCTTGGTGTATTCGCCATGGGACAGGGCATTCTCAACACTCCTCCATTCTGAATGCACTTGACATGATAAAGCTGCTTGCAGTCATTGCACTTGTATCCCTGAGTGACAAATGCATCCATCTTCTCATGACAGCAAACACACACATCATCCTTGGTAAATCTTGCAATTTTCCTGAACCTGTGTCCAGCCAGGGTAAACAAATTATTGCCTTTCCACTCGAGTAAATTCATTCCAGGTGCCAATTTAAGATCATTCGATGGATCAGCCTTGTCGTCGAGGGCGGAAATCTTGGTAGCAGGATCCGAATTCCTCCTTCTGAGCTCCAGGGTTGTCACAGCATTAGACCTAACTCTCTTTCCCACAGCCTGAGGCTTGTACGATCCCTCGGACTTCACAGGCCAATCCGTCACAGTCCTCGATGAAACCAAATCCTCCTTCTTTCCCCATATCTGTGGCCCCTTGAGCTCTGACTCCTTTATCGTCCCCAGGAATATATTTCTCGCCTCTTGTGGATGATTCTCCGCTACAGACTCGCCCATTGATCTACACTGCATCTCTCTACCTGGACGATTTCTCCTTGCACTTCGCACTGGCACATCAGGCTCTGCCTTCTCCCTGGACTTCATCTCCTCATCCCTCATTTTCTCTAAAATATCGAGCTTCAGGGAGGTGTCACCCTCGGAATTCTGACGCTTCAGATAATTGTACTCCTTGGTATCACGATGACGAGGCGATCCCAGATCAAATCCAGTAGATTCTGAAAGTCTCCTCACTTCCCTCGTATTGAAACACTCATTCTTGTTATAACGGTCATTAGCCTCCAGCTTGATATTCAAATTAGTCGCCTCATTGAGACTCTCTAATTTCGCCTGCTCTAGAAGACTCTCAGTCAGATGTTTATACTGAGTTATATTGGGTGATCTAGTTATGAGGGACTTGATAGGTGAATCCTGATAATCAAAATCAGCCCTTCGTCTCCAAGGGTCAGCCTGAGTGTTTGGACTAGCCCCAGAGTACTTTGGGCTGAATGACGTCAGACTCGAGGAGGAAAGACTATTGAAAATTGGTGGAGCACTGTGGACAGCACTTGGTGCCTCTCCATCTGTATCGCCATCACTGAAACCAGTGGATGAACTGTCTGTTCTCTTGCTCATCAGTGAACATCTGCTCGTTGTATTGACACTGTGAATGACAGTCTGCTCTGTTCTTTTAGTTCTCGCGGAGGGAATTGGCTTGGAGTTCTCCTGTGAGAAGTGACTCTCAGCACTATCAACACTCATCTGCGACTCGTAACTCCTCAATGATGCCAGCGACTCCAGACTACCTTTTCTCGTCTCCTCACCCCTGAATATCTGAATATCTGTCTTAGTCTCTGTTCTGGAGTTAAGTAGACGTTTGTTGGATGTGATTTTTCGCTTTGAGCACGAAATACTCGTGTCCAAATTTCCAATCTCCAGTCTTGACAGCAGAGGAGGATCTTCCTCAAGTCTCAATTCAGCTCTGTATTCTCTCTTTCGTTTTTTCAACTCCAAGAATGCCTTTCTCGAGTGATTCCCTCTGATTCTCGCCTGGAAGTAGATCAGGGAGATCCTCAACTTCTTGAACCACGTTTGCTGTTTGTAGCCCCTCCAAGTCGACTGGATGTGAACAGCTGCATCGATTCTTGTGCGCAGAGTGTGAGCCATTCTCTGGGCCATCACCATTCGCCAAAATGATTGGATTAATACCACAGCATTTTTTATTCTCAGGAATTTTCGACGCTCCAGACACGCCCTGAACCACTTCTGAATAGTCGTGATACTCGTGATGATTTGCTGGTGGAGTTCGATGTCGAGTTTAATTTTTTCAGACTCTCTAAGGAAGACTTTGGTCTTCCCCAGCTGGTAATTGTCCTTGTTGAGGTTGAGGGTGAGGAGGAAGTCGCGTACGTCGTTCTGAGAGCTCAGGAGACCGTGAGGCAACAGCATTCGGTAAAGCTGGATGAATTCCTCGTACGTCAGACGAACGTTGAAGCCAGCCTGACGGATTCTCACAGTCTCCAGCATTCCTGTGTAACGGAGTTGGCGCTGGACTGTCTCCTCGTCAAATTCATTGGGAATTTTGTTACTGTTCGATTTGATACAACGAATGAAGAAGGGATTCGCTTGGTTCAGGGTGTCCATCAGGCTGTGAAGACTCTGTTGAAATTGAGCTGAAACTGTCATCGGTTGCTTACGAGCCTTTCCTGGACCTGTGCCGTAACTCTGGGTGCGACCTGCCAGAGTCTTCACCGTTTGCAGATTCTTCAGGCCTTTCTTCCCTCGCTCTCGGGGACGGAATGACTTGTTTTTCCTGGAAGTCGAGGTGTTGATTAGAGCTCAATATGGAGGATCGCGTCTGGACTAAAAGCAAGAGGGTTTGACGCTTGCAGCTCTCTTCAAGGAGAGCTGGGGGCACCTATGGTTTTTTCGGGAATTTCTCAAAATTTTACATAGGAACCGTTTAACATTCGTTCAACTATCAATCCTCCAAAATTCAAAGGGCAACTCGATCTGCCCATCGAAAAAAAAAACACGCCGAAACCCCCCAGCTCTCCCTAAAATATTATAAATCGTAAATAGCTCAAAGGCAATATGAATAAATTAGCAAATGACGTAAAACGTAGTGTACTAATCCACTACAGTCTTTCTTCCAAGAATAATTACCTGCACCCAGTTCCAGTGTTAGAAAAATAGTATACGTGATATTAAGGGATTAGAAAAGTGCAACCTCAGTAGTTAAATATTATGAAAACCAGGGTAAGTAGTTTAGTAAACTATCTATCTAACATTCAGTAAAGTCAGTAAAAATAGCATGCTTTGATGAGATGATGAATGATTGAATGAATCATGATTGCATGAAGTGAATGACAATGAAATTCCTCGGTTAACGATTATCACCGATGAAAAAAATCCTGTCAATTAATATTGTCATTAGAGGAAAGTAAAAAAACCTTTTACCCATCAGAAAATATTGTAATAGACGTGAAAAGCCCCGCACACCTTGAATAGCAAAAAATCATTGAGTTTATTGGACAATTCAATTTTCTAAAATTAACTTTGGAGTTTTGTTTTTGTTTTTTTTTTTTTTTTTTTGAATAACTGCAACTTTACATACATGACGATCTGATTGGCACGTTCCATGACATTAGCCTCGTCTTTAGGGAGGACCCTCTCGAGTGGCGTGTGTGTATCCCTTCTGAATCTATAATTACTATTTTGCTGCTCATCCCTTATTCTTAATACGTAACCCTTGGGCGTAGATATATTCGTCGTGTTGTGTTGTTGAGTCTGATTAACATTTCTAAATTGTGGCCATGATAATCGGTTGTTATTAACATTATCCGTGTTTTCAATTTGTGGTGGTGATAATGTGACAGTGGCTGATGTTGATGATGGTATACAGACACTTCTCTGCTTCTGATAACTTGGCGGACGAATTTGTTTTTGAGGGCTGGAAAATATTTCTATCATGCTTTGCCAATTTTTCTTTTTTTTTGCTTTTTCATCCTGGGATTCAGGGGAGATTCTACAGGGTTGAACTATGAAAAAGTTCATTCGTTATTATTTTTTAGCAATGTGATAATTAATTTTAGGCCAGTCCTTTTATTAGAACTGCATTGTGATCCTTATCGACTTCAAATAATATAAAGTCGATTGATTAATGCTTCGATTCTCAAAAGAAAAAATAGATAAGGATTTAATTAGCATCTTATCAATGCGATTGAATATAATTTGTTGATTTAATTGTTTTTGTTTCCAGTCACGAAATTCATCAGTGAAATGATGGTGTCGATGAAATTTCTAAGATAAAAGGTTCTTCGATGTATTCTCACAAAATAAATAATTTTTTAGATACATCGATTAACAAATCTTGAAACTTCTATTTCATGCAAATAAACTTTTCGTTTTTTCACAGCTCTAGGGTAAAATCTCCCCTCAATCAGCTTCATAGTGGTCAATAATTAAATAGGTAGACGTAGTTTCTGAAATAATGATGAAATGGTAAGAC